CACACTAGATACTCCTTGGTTGTAGATTGGCCTGCCGTAGTCTCTTAGTGATCATCTAGGTATGCACATATTGTTTTAAAATTTTTCTTCAAATAGAGGTCGGTTCAGGTTGAATCTTCATCCTCTATTCTTGTCAACCGTTTCATCAGCTTTGAGAGTTGCTTCAGCAGATGCCGATGCGGCTGCTTCCCGTGCAGCAAAATCAACTATCTCCTCACCGTTCTTAGCCATGTTCTCTTGGGTTGAAGATTGTCCCAAGAATTTTCCGGTGAGTTCTTTTTCTTTTCTCAGTTGTTGCAGGCGTTTTTCCAACTTCGGTTTGTAGGGTATTACTTGCGGACGCCGGGAAGGTACACCTTGAGGTTTCTGAACTGTATGATCCACTCACTGATGCCTAGCCTGAGTCGAGGTACCTGGATCTGCACAAAAATATGTAGAAGAGTAGTATGAGTGCACCACAACGGTACCCAATAAGTATCAAGCCTAACCTCGGTAGAGTAGTAACGAGGCTAGGTCAAGACACCTACTAGGATAAGAAGAAGCTGAATAGGTATAGCCAACTCTAATAATGAAAACGAGGGAATAGTGGCAATAAAGCAATACAACAAGGTAAGCTACAACTAGATTTAAAGCAACAAAGGCAACAAGGAAGGAACACATAATAAGAACATCAAGAAAATAATTCGGACAAATACAAGTGAGGTCAATGACTGACAACAAAAAGAATCACAACCGAGGTACCGCCTCGTAATCTCATTTCATAATCACAATCACAATCTTTCCTTACACCGTCGCGTGAGCCTTACATTTTGATAGTTTTGAAAATATTTTTCCTGAAGTAGCTATACGCACTTTAGCCCACATTATGTCACCGTGTGGCTTCAAGTAATTCCTTTACTAGCAACTTGCACATAGATCCCACCTTATGCCGCGACATGCATATTAACCCCTATCCTTATACCGCCGCATGCGCATCAATATCACAACATAATTATAACTCACACCACAAGTGCCCATATGCCACAACTTGCCAAAAGAATCAACAACACCAATGTTTCCACAACAAATAGTCATGACTCAACCACAATGTGTACAAGAGTCTCAACAATAATAAAATAATAGTGAATAACTCAACAAGAACGATATCTTAACTATTAACAACTTCGCCTCAAATTGATATCGACCTTTATAACTTCAACACCAATAACTAAACAAGAACATATTCCATGAGATAACAACTTCAAGTAAGTAATTCAACAATTAAAGAAGTAACAAGACAATAAGGAAGACAGTAACATCAACTAAATCATATAAGAGCAAAATAACAAGTAAGAGGTGGAACAAGTGCTAACAATGTCAAATAAAACATACAAGGGTAGATTAAGACATGTAAGGGTAGATTACCAATGAAAGATAAAACATGCTATTAACAATTCAATTAAAGGTATGGAAATAGTCTAAATAGCCTAAACTGTCAAATACCACATAAAGCCCGTGTACCCACTCGTCACCTTGCGTACACGGCTCTAATATAACACAAACAACTCCAATCCTAAGGGGTAGTTCCCCCTCTCCCCCCCACAAAGTTAGGCAAGATACTTACCTCAAACAAGCTAACTCGATCCACTAGTAAGCCTTTTATGCGAATATCCAACTCCGGACGGCTCAAATCTAGCTAAAATAACTTTATACCATAAACACATGTCGACCTCAAATCGTCCTTAAAATCCCCAATTTTCATTTTAGGAAGTTTTACAAAAATCTACCATTTTCTTCTCTTTAATTCACTAAATAAATGATAAAACTAAGATCAAATCATGATTAATTAATAAATCCAAGTAAAAAACACTTACCTCGATCCAAAAAGTGAAAAGACACTCCAAAATATCCAAAAACCGAGCTCTACAACTCAAAATATGAAAATAGTACTCTAACCCTCGATTAGGGTTTTAATATTCTACTGCCCAATTCTTACTCTACGCGATCGCGGAAAAGCACTCAAGATCGCGGAGAAAAAATTCCCCCATCTCACAAAAGTCTCTTACGCGATCGAGAGACTATAGCCGCGAACGCGATAACCAGTCATCCTCAGGCTACACGATCACGTCCAAGCCTACGCGGATGCGATGAACAACGCGTGCCATAGCACAGTCTCACTTTCCTTCTACGCGGCCGCGATACATTCTCCGCGTTTGTAATGCACAACATTCCAACCTTCCGCGAACGCGTCCCCATTTATACAATCGCGAAGAGAAATTATCCATCTGTCAACAAAGCCTTACGCAATCGCGGCTGAACCTTCGCGAACGCAGTGAAGGGAACCAAAAGCACAGAAAACCAGCTGTCTCAATACATGAACATATGTTTCGAACTCAATCCGAAAAACTTCCGGGGTCCTCGGGACCCCGTCCGAACATGCTAACAAGTCCTAAAACACGAAACGAATTTGATCGAAGCCTCAAATCATATCAAAAAATTACCAAAACCACGAATCGTACATGGATTCAAACCTAATGAACTGATGAACTTATAACTTCTAAAACTAATGCCGAAACATACCAAACCAACTCCGAATGACCTCAATTTTGCACACAAGTCATAAGTGACACAACGGGCCTATTCCAACTTTCGGAACCAAAAATTAACCCCGGTATCAATAAAGTCAACTCTCGGTCAAACCTCTCAACCTTCCAAATCTTCAACTTTTCAACTTTCGCCAATTCAAGCCAAAACGACCCACGAACCTCCAAATCAATATCCGGACATACGCCTAAGTCCAAAATCACCATATAAAACTATCAGAACCATCAAAATTCTATTTCGGAGTCGTCTACACAAAAATTAAACTCCGGTCAACTCTTTCAACTTAAGCTTCCAACTTTGGGACTAAGTGTCCCAATTCACTATGAAATCTCCCCAGTACCAATCCAACCACCCAGGTAAGTCACATAATCATAATTGAACATAAAGCAGACAATAAATAGGAAAAAGGAGCTAAAATACCTAAAACGACCGGCCGGATCGTTACATCCAGAATATCGATGAGTGCACACATATATACTATGTCTACCCCAATATCAAATATGAACTTTCTCCACAAAGAGGTAGTGGCAAAATCACTAAATGTTCAAACGGGATCTAAGATATTATTTCTGCCTCTATTCATTAGTAATCTTGAGGTGTTACTATTAATCAACTATAACACCATTCTTGTTTCATCAAACTTTTAACTGGCTATAACCAAATTTACGTACTCGAAATTTGCAACTTACAGAGATGATCCCGAATCCATTATACGTCACAGTAACTATTAGTTTATAAGTTAGGGTTCACCAGAAAAGAAGAAATCTTTAATCTTAGGATGTGTTTGGCATGAAGGAAAATATTTTTCGAAAAAGATTTTTTAATTTTTTCATGTTTGGTTGGCTTAAATATTTTGGAAAATATTTTCCTCATTAACCTATTTCCTCCAATTGGAGAAAAATATTTTCTCTGTTAAGAGAAGGGAAAATATTTTTCAAAACTCATTTTTAACTTTCCAACCTATTCCCTATCCCCACCAATCGCCACCAATCCACCAGCACACCCCCACCTACCCAATCCAACCCCGAACCCCATACTCGCCTCACCCCCTTGCCCCAACCCAACCCTGCTCCCGACCCCCACCTTAAATAGAAATATTGTTAATAGTACTTTCTTTTCATGTTATCGATAGAGCATGTTTTTTTTTCATAATAAAAAAAATATTTTTTGGGGA